GAACTCTTATTTGAATCATTTTTTGGATAGGAAATTGAAACTGTATGAGTTATTCCTACAATTCGATAGAGGTCTACGAAGGTTGAGAAACAAGGAGGCACACGAGGATTTTGTGAGTGTTGATACCTTCCCTGTGTGTGATACACATCTTCGGAGTATTGAGGAACAATTTGGTAGAATTTATACTCGCAAAATGTTCTTTAAAGTGCGGAAGAGGATTAAGGAGGAGCCATTTCTATATTGTGTGTCGACTAGGGTGAATGGGGAAAAGCACATTTATGATCTGAGCAAATATTCGAACATTAATGCTTCTTGGATTGTGGTTTACTACCCAGCACATAGGAGAATCGAGTGTTCTTGTCGGCTTCTCGAGAGCAAAGGCATTCCATGCAGTCATTGTTTTTTTGTGATGAAGATGAATAACATGTCAGTTGTTCCGTCTTCTTTGGTGGTGAAACGACGGTGCAAGGATGCTAAGAAAGAATGTCATGTGCAATCAGTCCACCCAGAGCTGCAAAATGAAGAGTTACATGCTATGGTGAGGTCTGGTAATCTAAATGGAAGCTTTGGGAATTTGTGTCGGTATGCATCAAAAACGGAGGAAGGATACAAGCTGGTGAAGCAGGAAATCGAAAAGTTGTCTGCATTGGCCGAGGAAATTTGGCGAAAGAATGGCGGATTGGAGCCCATGGAGAAAACAACTGAAAGAACACCAAGTATTAGGATTAAAGATCCTCATGTTGTGAAAACAAAAGGACGTAAGAGTCAATCATCAACCCAGCCAGCCAAAAGACATTGTAGTCATTGCACTAATGAAGGACATGATGTTCGCACATGTCCACAAAAAGATCATGAGAATACATGTATGGAACTATGTATATTTAGTCTCATTTTGTTACGATTGTTTCTTCTTATGAAGTAAATCACACTATTTGTTGTTAATGTGCAGGAGCTCATGCGTCTACAAGTTGAGAAGATTACAGTTTCATATGGACAGCAAGTTAGTGAACTGTAGGTATGATCTTAGATATTATTTCAATGCTTGTTTATGTGTCCAACATAGTTAGGAAAGACCTATGGTGCACCTATGCAACTATATAGCAGGCCGCTTGTGAATGGTAGGCAATTTTGGAATGATAGCTTTTGTTAGGTATAGGCAGTAGAGAGAGCAGCAGCAACAATGAATTTGATGGGAAGCCATTTGTTTGTTTGGAATGTGAAACTCCCAATTGTTCTCCTTCTAAAGTGTTTTCATACACAGATTCTATAAGTTATGTGGATGGATACATGCTTGTTCAGTCCAATTCTTTACTTAATCTCTACTGAAATGCTCATGGGATGCATGTTTGTTGCTATTTTCTAGCATCTGATGCTTGCGTACATACAAAGCTCTTTAATCGGTTCTTGCTCTCATATTGTATGTTCAAGTTAGTAAGCTTTAATTGTGTTATTATATTGCAGGGAGGGCAGTCGGACGTGGCTGATGATGGGGTTGTGGAAGAGGACGTACACGTTGTTGTTAAATCGTCTATGATATGATTGTGCATCACGTGTTTCGGGATCAATTAGGGACTTGAGAGAAGTGAGAACTCTTTGTTTGTTTTAATTAGCACTTGGAGAATCTGGATTCGAAATTGTTACTGTGTTTAGGTCTGATGTGCGTTATGTCATGAGAATGAGATGCAGTTTGTTTATATGATTGGCGGTTGCAGTCTTCCTGATCCTAGATTGACTGGAACTTACTCCTTTGACCTTCTTTTCACTGTGCGTGAAGCCTCTCATCGGCTTCTTCCTTTCTCGAATCTCTTCTTGTTTCTCTTCCTGATCTTCTTGCTTGACGGGACCTCTGGAATGTGTTGCATTTGCAGCAGAGGAAAGAAATGCGGCGACTCTGTTTCTCAGGTTGTTGTCTTCTGCAGCAGGGGTAGCCTTCATCTTTTTTCCTGCTTGCAGATTACCTTCTCTGGGTGGGTTATGTGCATCAACTAACCGTGTTATTGATATCAGAACAAGTTTATAACAGTCACATCTGACACCGACATTCTGAAGGCAATGCAGCTAATGACAGGTACTAAAGAAAACACGTTAAAGATTCTGGCTAATGCTGCAACCTGCAAGTTTAATTACCACATGTGCTGAGGGTAGATCTTTCTGATCTAACAGACTACCGCATAAGGCATGCCCCAGTTATTGACGGGAAGATAGTTGGGATGATTTCTATTGTAGATGTCGTTCGAGCAGTCGTCGAGCAGCAAACTGGGGAGTGGAAGAGGCTAAATGACTACATTCAAGGAGACTACTAGTAAAAAAGTGTTGTAAGCATCTGAAATTGTTGATACATCATATCCTTCTTTCTAATTGATAAAGCAAAGATTGCTACTATAAAAAAAAGCCCCCACAAACCAATGCCTTGTCCAGCAAATTTCTCTTCTCATATGCTGCAATTATGCTGGCGGTACACATTTCATCAGTCTTCGGCCCATTTTTCATCATGTGGTCAAAGTTAAACCTTGCTTTCTCAGCATCCCCGACTCAGCAAATGCCTCTATGAGCAAAGTGTAATGCACCAAGTTTGAGTCTTTTGTTGAAGTAGGTGGTGGAAGCCATGTCTTAAAATTTGTGGGGGGAATAAAATGAAAGATGTAAATATTGGTGGGTGAATGTTTTGTTCCTATCATATGCAAGTCGATCGAATCAATATTCGAATCAAATCGGAAATACGCTTAAATGTACTCAGCTCTCCTCTCTTCAAATGAGTACTCAATTTCTTCAGCAACTATCTCTTCAACCGCTGACTTGAAACCACCAAAATGAACTGGCGCTGCTGGAGTCATGGTTGTTTGCACTTTCCCCATGCGCTGCTCTGGCTGGCTATTCTACAAAATTATCTTTGGATGATTTTGTGGACGACATGGGTGAAAATGGCTTGCACAACAGCATTGCAGAATCTGGTTCGCGGCCATTTGCAGTGCCAAATGACTGAGCTTTCACGAGCAGACCAGCTATATCCAGACCTCTCCTACCTGCAAAAAATATTTTGAAGCAAAACTAATCTCATGTGATATGGTCTACCAGGTAAAACAAATAAACCAAGTAATACTGCATGCCTAAACTAGTAAAATAACTCTAGGCATCACATCACTATTGTATAGAGTTTCAGCTTATAAAATGTTGAATTCCAAAGAACAGGTCATTTGACTGAATTAGAGTTTTAAAAGGAGTGAACCTACTTCAACAACGAGAAACAACAGCTTAACTGTCCAAGCAAGCTTCATGGAGCTATGACAAACCAGGATGAGATTTCCCAATGTAGACAATTTAGGTCGTTCGTGAAAAAGATTCGCGTCACCACAATCCCACCATAGCTATTATTATTGAAGAGATAACCAGAGCTCATAACCCTGGACGAATTCAGACACAGCAAACTGTAGCCAAAACCCCACCATCCTAAACACAAGTTTTGAGATCGTTAAAAAGGAATTCAGCCCTATTTGACTCTCGTTTGTTCCAATCCTTCCCATAACCAGACATTCCATCAAATTCAATCCGGACTGCTCCAAAAATGGGAACAAAATCAAACCCGCCCAAATGCTAATCATCAAACATGGCAAGTTCATAAAATACCCTCACAAATCTCAACCTTCATAAAGTCGAATAAAGAACCTAACCTGCCTCCGTGTTTTTTTGCCTCGCGCCACTAAAAACATAACTTCCTGATTTGAAAGGACTGATCGTCTTCTAACAGTATTTCAAAATAGTGGATTTCGGTGCGGTATACCCATTCCTGAATTGCAGCAAACGACAAGAGCTGCATAAAACGAGATTAAGATAGCAATTAGATGCTGAACGAATAGCCGAATTGAAATGAAAAGAACAGAGAGAGAGAGAGAGAGAGATAGAGAGATAATGGGGGCGAAAGGGAAGACTGACATCAGTATCATCGGAAATCATTATCAGTCCGACCAATCGGCAATGAAATGGGAGGTTCTCGCTACGGTAACCGTCGCTGTGGGGTATAACCCAGACTGATAACTTGGCGGGGTAGTATTTGGTGTCGATTGTTCACCTGTTAGCGCCAAGAGATTGAAAGTTCACACAAGGGTTTCAAGGAGGGGAAATTGCGAAGAGGGATTAGGAGATAGTACTGACCCGCGGACGGGCAAATGAGAATCGGAACATCTTCAAGATCCAGTAAAAGCAAAGCTATGGGGTTAAGGAGCAGGTATTTATCAATTAGGCGGCGATGAGCGAAGCGCCGGGAGGATACTGTTAAACTCTCTAATGCAATTGGGGTACCGGGGGTGGTTCTGGGGTGGCGGTGATGATAGACACACAGGCGGATGGTGGCGGTCTGAGACGGACGTGGGAGTCGCATATTTGGGGATTTTGTTGGAGGGAATTAGAAACCTTAGTTGTCTAGCTTGTAGAAATTAGAAATAGCAAAATTAAGGCGCCAGAATGTTGGAGCCAAAAGTTCGGTCTCACAATACAAATTTGAAACAAATTATTAATGCCAAATGATAAATACCCCCAATTATGAAAAGGAAAATCAAAATTTCCAATCAAATTATTAATCTATCCATAATAAAAACAAAACCAGATTTGTTGATCTCAAAGTGTTCAAAATAAGCCAACACATAATCCATCATTGTAAACCGAAATCAACTCATCGAAGACAAAAGAGATTAATGGAAAGGCAACATAAGAGGAGTACTGATTAGCAACACTTCACTTTTTTCCTTTGCGTCCTTTCGAAGCCCTTGGTTTGCCCTTGGTTTGTGCAACCTTTTTAGTCGCGTCATGTTTTTTTGCCTCTTCCTCGATCTTGTCATTCTTCTTGTTGAACTCCCACTTCACCAATTCAAGTGCTAAATTCAGTCGTTCTTCTTCACTGTGGAACTGTAAGTTCAAATAGTCAATTAGATTGCACCACAAATTTCTCTAACGATGATGTACTGACGGGTTTCTTAAATGATAGCTACCTCTTTTCTCATATCTCTTGCCGCCTTGTCTAGCGATGTTGCCCCTTTCATCAACTTCACAACAAACATACCAGAATCATCGCTGTCCAATGAAAAATGGCATTATAGATTGTATTATCACTATCGTTGTAGCGTCAAACCGACTCATTATATGAAGCACATGATGGTAACTCACTCATTGGATTGTTGAGGGGCCTCCACTACAAACTGAATGGGAAAGTGTTGAAATGGGTGGTCATCATCAAGAATACCACTAAAGTCCTTACCAAATAGAACGTCCAACATTGTTACCTGTAATTGTAAAAAAAATGTGTGTTAAAAGATTTAGGTTGGCATTTCTGCGAAGACTAAGTAATAAGCGATGTGAACGAGAAGCGACAACTCACAATTTGTTTTGCTTTAGCCTCCAGATCGGGGGTATTAGTATGTTTTTTGTATGAATCCCAAATTGCAACTTCACGAATTTTTATATCAACGACCATAAGGGCAACGTGAAGGGCCAAGTAGATTGGTACGAAAATCTGAGAAGAACAAAAATTAAAAGTAAGTTAAAATGACTATTTTGCACATGGTTTGAAGGGACTTTCATAAAACAAAAATCAATATTCAAATGCGACCATACCCGCTCAGAGTCTCTGATCCTTGAACAATATTTCGATACCAGCTTTTGAGAAGTCATATACTTGTAAAACTCGGTCTGGGTGTCTCCAGACTTCAACTACAACAAATAAGCACATTAATACATAGAGTATTATGAAATCAATAGAAGCAAGTCCATGTATACGAATGGGGCTTGTGGATTACCCCAACTATAGTTGGTAGTAATGTGTTTGTAGGAACAGCCTTTTTAGACTCCTCGATAGTAAGCTTTCCCACAACTCCATTAATGACCTTTTACACAATTTTGAAACACAACGTAAAGTTTAAATATGAAACGTGTACTTAATTCATAGCAACATATATCAAACTTTGTTAAACTAAACCATGATGCAATACTTACCCCTAACTCGATATTTTGGTTGGGAGCTAAGGACCTTAGGTCAACACATATAAGATACACGTTGGTACTAGATACCACAACATTACTATAACAAACAAATGTTAGTGTATGTGAAACCAAAGAATTAAACAATGATATTAGAAATAGAGTTAGGTAGAGATTTTAACCAGTCATTCATGTCAGCTTCGAACAGATACTTGATCAGCGAAAGGTCTTCAATTGAGGCATGACGACCCACTTTGAACGGACAAACCAAAAAAACTTTCCTTGTTTTTTCATTTGCATATGGAGATTTTACCCACTTGCTTGGTTTGCGCTCCGCATCAGCACGCAACTCTCGAGCTGATGAGTACACATCATTAAGATTAAATTCTCTACCTTCCTCTTGTATCTGTCAAATAATACGACATCAATTTATAGTGTCCACGAACCCATTATTTGTCTAACTATCAGATTACTAAACGTAAACACATATATATCAAACCGAAACAAAAAAGTCAACCTACCTCCACTGACAGACTCTCATTACCAACTGATTCCATAGACATGACATGTTCTGCATCCAGACCAAGACTTCTTCTATGTGTTTTCATGAATGTTAACAAATCTTCTTGCAGGTCCTTTACAGTATCCAGTTGTAGTTCCACCAATTTCATACGTGTGTCAAAACTCACTATGATTTCTTTGATGGCTTGGACAGACTCCAAGACACCAGCAATATCAGCACTTTGATCCTTTGTGTTTTCCATCTTCCTAATTGTCATAAAAAAACCACATTATAAAAGGTTAAAACCACATTAAAATAATTAATTATATATACTTATGACTATTAACATACTAATAAACATAACATTAACTTTGGAATAAAATAAAATATCTATACCTATTTTATAGGTAAATTTCCCATAATGTATTTTACTATATAATTATTTATTTATATTTACTATATAATTATTGACAAATAGTACATACTTGATACAATTTTCATAGGAAAAAGTGATAATGAAATGAGAAGTGGATATTTCATTAGGTTAATCATCTTAATAGATTAATTATTACAATTATTCAGTAATTATTTATTTTAAAAATTATTCATTTTTATTTTATATATTCTTTTCTTTAATCCCCTTTATCTCTTTATTTGTTTTTTTGGACGCTCCCAGCGCGCCGCTCATCCACCATTGCCGTCACGGTGAGACCTCGACAAATGAAAAGATTTCTTTCTTCGCTTTTCTTCTCGCTTCTTCGACTCAGAAAAAGAGCTAGTTGATCTATTCTACTCCATTTTTTCTGCCGCCCAAAAGTACCTTCTTCTCTGGTCAATCTAAGATCATATTTTACTCCCTGAGAAGAACTCGCCAACACTAATCTACTCAATTGGCCGACTCGAAAGCCGAGCATGCATCACTGGCAAAGAATGTCGATAGGCCAGTCGATGGGCTGTCGTTGCTATACAGATCTCTGCAGGCAGATCGCGCTCCAAAAATTTTCATAATGAATTCTAGGGTTCTTCGATACAGAGTTTAACCACAAAAAATTCCCATAATGCGGAGTTTGACGATCTGAAATTACAAAATCACAATGCTGCGAGTGGCAAAAGAACAGAATGTAGCCTTGGAAGCAATTAGCAGGGTGTTGGAGGATTTGAACAATTTCAGCGAAAAAACAGGTATTCTTACTAGTTCTTCTTTGTTCGATTTAATTCTAAGATACGACTATATCACCATTACTGGTGTTTGATTCTGTATGTTTGCTGAACCAATTACTAAAGCTTGTTGGGAGATTCTCAGTTCATACCCAATTGGCTGCTTTGGTGTTTGATTCTCATTGTTGAACCAATGTCTGCAGTGTATGAAGGAATCACTATTTTGTCTATGTGCTAGTGCATTATAGGAACAGGGTTTCTAGATTAGCTTAGTAGACGGATTTGCACATGAAAATAACACTAGTAAGTTCATATAGAAATTGATGTTCAGATTGAACACATACCTTAGCTATCCACCCGGCACGTCGATTCTGCCAAACAATTGTTGCCAATCATCCAGCATATGCCCACATAACTTAATCTGTAATACCAAACTGTGGAAATAGGGTAGAAAAAAATAAGGAAGCTAACTATTACCTGCGGCTCCAAAAATCCATGACTATTAGACCTATAATGCTCTTTTTTCACGATTAATGATTCACCCTCCTCGAACTCCATGACATAACATCCTAGGTGAGCATTCAACTTGCTCGGTAATACTCTGTTATCTCCTGCTTCCTACCTCCTTCACATCGGTTATGTACTTTGAACGTACCTAGGGCATCCACTATCTCCATCATTTGGTACATAAGAAGGTAATGCCACTTCGAACCCCAAGATTGTTGATGGCTGCTTAACCCCTCCTTCTTGTTAACTGCAAAACTCTTCTAACGTAATTCTCGTCCATGGTTGACCACATCAGTCACCTAAGTCCTTGTATCTCCTAGCTTTGCATCTCTTACTTTCTTCCTCGATACTTCATCTTATCCTTTAACCATAAACTGAATGGTCATCTCTTCGTTACTTCTTGCTTAACGAAACCTCATAATGCTGCTTCTACTTTCTGAATGCATTAAAAGCATCCTTTGCATCTTTCTCTAGCTTGCAATCAACTTAATGACTTCTTTCGTGAATCATGACCTTCCATTTTGCATACTTGATCACTCCCGGCGCCTAACTTAGCACTTCTTTATCGGCACTTGAATTTGATGTTATCATACTATCCATTCTGTCACTCTTAGACCCCAAATGAAATTTCTCATACGGTTTCCCCGTCCAAGAAATTTTCACCCGAGAGATTTCCACCTTTCACCCGCACAGGCGATCTTGGTTTCATTTTGGGGTATCTTAACTGGTTCCCTAAACTCGTATCCCTCGTACTTCGCTACTCGTGACTCTTCTTCTCGATGTTACTCGCTAGTTCTAGATGATGTCCCTTATTCTCGATGTAGTCATCTAGGTTCTCATATTCTCTTCTTACTAGTTTATCTGGAGTCCTTGACTTATAAAGTTCTCCCTTTGACTATTCTTAACGACCACGATTCCACCTTAGAATTGGCCAAAATTTGTTGATGGACTTCCTATGGATTGATTGTTCGCTACTGGTAATCAGCCTAATGCTTTCTTGTTGTTTGTTATATTCATGCTTCGGTCCGTCCTAGCTATCTTCCTTGACGCATACATTGCCTGGTCGACGACCACCATTATGTTTCTGTAACGTCCTATGGTGTTCTCCTTCCGTTTTTGCTTTGCACTATATTTGGTCACCAAAATCCGTTGAGTATCTTCTCGTTATTGTTTGGGTCAAAGCTTCCAATAGAGGATTTCACTGGGTAGGCTTTAACATACCTCATTCACGTCATTTATCTTGATTGATGCCTTCATATGGCCTTAATCTCATAGTATGGGTTCTTAGTGGCTTAACTGAACGTGTCTTACTTATCCTTAACTAGCCGCTTCCTCTGGATGACATCCTACTATGCCGCTCCCACTCAGAGTGGGGCACCTTGGGTAAGGTAACTTAATGATTTCCTCCTTCGTGGTAATGCTTTTCCTCGTCGTACTCCACTATGCATTTTCTTGAACCCGAGTCACCTACACATATTCTCAATCCTTCATCGGAACTTCCATGTGCTTCCTTGAATTCTCTGTCATTCACTAGAACATTTATTGAACGTTCCACTTACTTGTCTATACTCGGTTGGCTTAATGACTTATTCCTATAGCTAGTTTCGAGACTTCAGTTCTTAGCCCACTAGTTCCAACTTTTTAGAGAGGTTCCTCCTTCTGTCACCCCTCATGTATTCTAGGCGGCTAGGTGCTCCCTCCATTTAGGATAGGACAATCTCATAACAGATCATCATGAACTCTTGAATTCCCCTTTCAACGGTCTCAACATCCTCTTGACCTTTCGTGATCTGGGTAGTTTGTAGGGTCTCTAATCTCCTCTTTCTAACTTGGTGTTATCTTGATATCCAACTCACACACTGCTGAGAAGTGGTTCTTTATTCGTACTGCCATTTACTAGCTAACTGTTATTCCATCTCACATTCCATGTCTTTTCTTATGTATTGACTCCCCACTGTCTTCTACCAGGCATGCTTTAGACTTTGGTGACACTTTCCTCCATGTCTCGTCCAATGGTGGTCGTACTGAAACCATAACTTGTAATCTACATCATTTATCTCGTTGCTTGTCTTGTTCCTTCTAAAGGGTTTTCATCGGCCTAACTTCCCAGGGTTATGTACCCTCTTCTCTAGTGACGTAGTTTATCTATAAGGGTTCCTTCATTGTCATATGTAAACGATCATGCCTGCTCTCCTTCTTAAACTATTGACTTCTTGACGTCCTTTCAGACCCCCTCTAACCTACTTACTTCCTCCTTTATTTCATTTTTACTACCCTAGCTTCTCTTGAAGTCTAAGCTTTCCAATGCTCCTTATCACTGTGTTGTAATAGCGTTGACCACTAAAACTAGTTGAGTGACTTCTCGTGATACCTCTTTGTTTCTTGACTCGCCACTGCTTAGGGTCAAGGACCCTGAAATTCTCCTATCATTATAGCTACTAACATCTAGTGATTGTAGCTCTTTTTTCGGAGATTCATAGTTCTCTTATTTGTATATATTAACCTATTAGATCACTTGCTAGTAGCTAAGTAGAAAAAATCCTCGTAGTGCTCCTTCAACTCCTTCGAATCTTCGTACTTATACCTCGGGATATCCCTTTGCAATTTGCGCACCTTTTATTAGGACTAAAGTTATTTATCGTAATATGATTAGAGTATACTGGAGATTTTATAGACTCTTAAAAAGAAGATCCTTGACTCATTTTCCCTTCATTTAATACAAAAGTCTTTAAAAACTAAGACCAATATTCCAGTATTCCTTGGAGACCAAGGAACAGAGGAAGACCAGCTCTGATACCAAAATGTGACACCCTAACTCGGCCAGTACTACTTTTACTAAACTGCCCTAGACAAATAAAACACTCTAATCTTAAATTGCAGCGGAAAAAATTTTCATAAACAA